TGTATGCTTCGGTAATGTCCCCTCCTACGAATGACACCTCTTCATTAGGAAAATACGTTTTCAAGGGTTCGTATTCTCCTCCCACAAGATTCTCAGCAAGATGGTCTGCTAGTGCTTGTCCTTTGACCGCCTTTTGGGTTACGTAGACGACATCGAACTCACTTAACAGTATCTGACACTTAGCTAACTTCCAGTCGGCATGGGTTTCTGAAATATGTACTTCAGGGGGTCCATCCTGGATATGAGGTATGTGGTATAGGCACGGAAATAATACCTCAACTTCTGGGTCGTCCAAGTCAAAGCACAGCAAGTGCGTTCCAACAGAGAGTATCGTGCTTCATAAGGTGTGAATTTCTTACTTAGGTAGTATATGGCTTGCTCCTTTCTCCCTGTCTCGTCGTGTTGTCCCAGAACACATCCGAAGGCTCCATCCAATACGGATAGATAGAGTAGCAAAGGCAGTCCTGGCTCTGGCGGGACCAAGACTGGTGGTGTGGACATGTACTCCTTGATTTTGTCGAAAGATTTCTGACAATCCTCGGTCCAGCTTGTCTCGGCATCTTTCCTCAGCATCTTGAAGATGGGTTCACATATGACTGTGGACTGTGCTATGAAGCGACTGATGTAGTTGAGACATCCTAGGAAGCTCATTACGTCCTTTTTGCTCCTAGGCGACGGTAACTCCTGAATAGCCTTAACTTTAGACGGGTCTAGCTCGATCCCTCAACGACTGACAATAAATCCCAGTAACTTTCCTGCGGGAACCCCGAATGCACACTTTGCGAGGTTCAGTTTTAAGTTGTACCTCCTTAACCTGTCAAAGAACTTTCTCAAGTCTGCTATGTGATCCGCGGCCCTCTTGGATTTGATAATGACGTCGTCCACATACACCTCTATTCTTTGTGTATAATATCATGGAAGATGGTTGTCATGGCTCTTATGTAAGTAACCCCAGCATTCTTTAGTCCAAATGGCATCATCTTGTAGCAGTATACCCCCCATGGTGTAATAAAAGCTATTTTCTCTGCGTCTTCTTCATCCATCCAGATCTGGTGATAACCCGCGAAGTAATCTACAAAGGATTGGAGTTCATGCTTGGCACAATTGTCGATCAAGATGTGTATATTTGGCAGTGGAAAGTCGTCCTTAGGGACTTGCTCTGTTTAAGTATCGATAGTCAACACATACTCTGACCTTCCCATCTTTCTTCGGAACTGGTACAATGTTGGCTAACCAGGTTGGGTATTCACTACCCTGCGGACTTTGGCTTTTGATCTGCTTAGTAACTTTCTCCTTGATTTTCAGGCTCATATCTGGTTTGAATTTTCTGAGCTTCTGCTTCACCGGCAGACACATGGGATTGTAGGCAACTTGTGGGCCACTATGGATGTGATCAAACCGGTCATGTAATCATACGACCATGCGAAGATGCCCTAATATTCCATTAAGAAACGAATGTACTCTTCTTTCTCTGTTGGTGATAAGTGAATGCTGATGCGAGTCTCCTTGACGGACTCGGTGTCCTCCAAGTTTACTGCCTCAGTTTCGTCTGTAGACATGTGATTTTTGACCCTCCCCAAGATTTTTATATTTTAGCACGTAAATATTTAATTTAGGCCTAATATAGCTATTTTAATTAATTTTACTCTTTTACTTTATTTTATTACAAGAAAACGAAAATTACAAAAAAAAAATAAATAAATAAGTTCATTTAATGTTTTATAGTCATTTTAACCTTGGAAAAAAAAATACAAAAACAGTTTTGTTTTAACGATTAGTCTTTTTTTTTTTAATAAATATTTTTACTTAGGTAGACTAATTAATATTTTTGATAATACTTTTAGTTAATTAAACTAATTTTTAACATAGCTAGTCATAAAGGCCCAAGTTTCTAGCCCATTTCTTAAGATCAATACCCAATACCCATTAAGCTAATCCTAGGGACCCTTCTAGACTCTTCTTTGGAACAAAAAAAATAAATAAAAAGACCCTAAGGACTTAATACAAAAAGACCTAGGGACTAATTGGCAAAATACACAAAATATAAACCTAATCCCTACCCCTATTTAATAGTACCTACACCTAAAATATAGGACACCCAAAACACACTCCCTAGATCCGCCGTTCCATCGTCCATTGATAAGAATTCAAAAGCTAAAAATACAGGAAAAAAGCAAAAAGAAAAGGACCTAAGGAACGGAACCCAGAGAAAAATGCTAAAAATGGCAGTTTCCTTTTTTGGCTAACAAGGATCCGTTGCAATTTCAATGGAGAAGGACCCCATTTGCTCCCATCTTCTTCTTCATTAGAAAAGGAAATCAGCGCCATTTCTTCATAAAAATTAAAAGCTCCGCAGTACACAAAAACACGACCCCTCTTGGCTTCGTCCTCTCCACGTCGACTGAAGCAGTGCCATTGACGACCAAAAAACGACGTCACTCCTTCACCTCCATTAATCTCCATCCCGTCAGTGAAAGCTAGGTCCGTCGTCGAATTTTTTTGCGTTTCCGGCGAGCTTCAGGGTATAGATCGTAGTTCCGTCGAGGCTTCCGACCACCGCTTTGGTCATCAGTAGAGTTCCATTTCTGTTGAAGGTCCACTTTGAGGTTCATATCTCTCACCTTTGTGTAATTCTATACTGATGAATGCTACTTCCTCCGGTCCAAAATAAGTGATTTTTTGGATGTTTTCACACAGATTAAGAAACCCACCTTTTAGCATTAATTAGCAATAAAATTGACCATGTTAACCTTTACTATCTCACATAAACACTCCTAACACATATTCCAACACTATTTACTCCAAGGACAATATAGGAAAAAAATAATTAATTCATTCTTGAAATCTGAAAAAATCACTTATTTTGGACCACAAAAAATACCAAAAAATCACTTGTTTTGGACCGGAGGGAGTAATATTTTATTGCTGAAATTTTGTTGAAATCTGACCTGATGCAAATGCAGATCTATTTTTGTGTAGTCAATAGATGTTCTCTATGTAGTTTGTAAATGTTCGTGTTGACATTGAGAACTACCTGCAAATTGATTTATTCTATTTAATGTATGCCGATTTAAATTTTATATGGTTCATTCTTCTTAACAGGATTTAAGGGTCATTCAACTCATATGATGTTCGGCAATTTAGTTTTGTTAATATTAGTCATCCATGATTTCATGTTGCTGATCTTTAATTTTGTTAGTTAGCCAAGTATACATGGATAAATAATTTTGGGGTTGGATACAAGTTTGAATTTGGTTGATATCATTTTAATGGTTTTAAAACTGCCTGGACTTTTAGACTAGAGGAATCAAAAGCTAACTTATTCTTTTTATGACAAATTCATTACGTCTTTTTACTTTGTCACGTGAATTTGTCATTGCCTCACATCAACTCTCAAAGTAGTCTAGAAAAATAATTTATAAATATCCGCAGTTTGTTTTAGTTGAGTATGTTTTTTGGAATAATTTGAGGCGCGCCATGACAAATAAAATCCCAAAACTCATGGCCCTCATTTAATTAACTTTAATCCTTTAGAAATCGAGGCGTGCCATTTAGCAAAATTTTCCATGGCCCTCGCAAAGTTAAAAACGCGTAGTTGCTTTAGGTGCGTTATTTTAATAATCTACTTTCCTAAACTCGGGTGCACATTTATGTGACCCAAATCCAAATCTCAACGTTAGATAAAATGTGTTATGGGCTACGGGTGCATTTATGTGACGTGGCTCGAAACATATTTTAAATAGCGTTGCAATCTTTCTTAAAATAATTAAATAAAAGCGGTCAAAAGTTAAAATTGTACATAGGTTCAAAATGTATTAAAATCAGATAATAGGCCAAATTATAACAGTTGAGCGACCGTGCTAGAACCACGAAACTCGGGAATGCCTAACACCTTCTCCCGGGTTAACAGAATTTCTTACCCGGATTTCTGGTTCTAAAACTGTTAAACAGAGTCATCCTTTTCCTCGATTCGGGATATGAACCGGTGACTTGGGACACCATAAATCTCCCAAGTGGCGACTCTGAATCCATTAATAATAATCCCGTTTCGGTTGTCACTTCAAGTTGAAAATAACTCCCTTTATTATACCCTCTTCCGAGGGTGTAGTGAAAAAAGGAGGTGTGACATCGTCCAGGTTGGACTTAGGCTTATTCTCAAAGTTTTCAACCTCCCTGACAACTTCCTCATGTATTTCATCTTCTTCATCCGAATCACTATCCTCATATTGCGTTGCCTCATTACATGTCACAGTCACCGGTTCATCGGGAAAAGTAATAATAATGCTGTAGAAAGAAAAAGTGTGGAAGATAATAATGAATAATAAAGAGCAATGCATTTGATTAAAACTGAAAGACATCCAAACAAGTACGGCTCGATGAATCGAGCATTTATTTTGAAACAAGTAAGTCTTTTAAAACAAAATTACTGAAAATCTTAGATGCCTAGAATGACAATAGAAATAAAATCTGCCAAGCTACCCAGGGACTCGGCGGGCCCGGTACGGTGTGGCAGTCCAGTTCCTGAGAACAGCTCCCTTCTCCACAATCTGAATGGTGAGGCCTTCTTCCTCCTCTTCCTAAACTATTGCACTGCATTGTATCATCTATTCTGACTTTTCCTTTGCTTTTAGGATCACTTGGAAGAGGAGGATGTGGAGGACCTTTAGGTATGCTGATGATGCCAGTATGTGCGAACCAACCTTTGGGGGAATGGGAATAGTCAAAAGAACGAAAGAAAAACAAAAGGTAGCCAAGTCAGTAATAGTTCTGAAAGGAGTACTTGCAGTATTTAAACATATATTGCGGAAAGATGAAATTCGCGTCCTAATTTGGGAGCCTCGTTGTGCCCGAGGTAGGCCTAGCGACAAGTTGATTTGGAGAAATTAGATGCCAATAAATGCCCCATTTCATTAATATAAAAATAGATGAATCCCATAACGACACTAAGATAATAAAGGTAAGTCACTATTGGCACTTGGCCTTATTACATTTAGGAAAGCAAATAAATCTAGCCTACTTGGTCCAGAAGGACCTTCCCCAGACTCGTTCTTTCTAACTCCATCAACCAGGTTCCCCAGCTCTCGCAGATCCAGCAGCAGATAGGCTCTAGCCAGATGTCCTCCTTCGCCCCCTTCAGCATCTCATTTTCTGCAAAACAAAAGGTTAGGCCCTTTCCCCCTCCAGGTTCGTCTATTTATACAGTAATGATTAGCATATTGACACTTTATTTCTCCAAATTAATGCACACAATCGTGATTACGTCCGTTGGGATTCGTAAAAAACCCGATGGACTTTTGGACGAGGCTTGTCTTAAAGGGTTATTATGCGGACAACATATTAACCCGGCTAGGTTTGACCATGATGCATGTACAATTAATCAGAGTAAGGCTGCTATAGAGGTCTAGACTGGGACCCTCAAGCGGACAACTTGAGGGGGAAAGGCACGGAGCAGTCGAACGCACCGCTGATCGACTAGTTTTACCGCAAATACGCCTTTCTGAATTTAAAGGGTGATATATAGGAAGAGCGCAAACACTCATCAAGCGTTGCTATAGGATTGATTACGCACGAGTGAAATATGATGTTGAGCATGACTTATGCAACAATAAATAGCATGTTGTCAAGTATTTGCACGTAAATAAAAATGATAAATGCAGTATTTAAATAATTGAAAGACAGTTACGGAAAAAGAAAATAAAGAGACAAGCCAGTTTCAGGAAAATGAAGAAATCATAAATAAGCAATTAAATCCAAATAAAGGGGAAAGGGTACACAGGATAAAGCATGCTTGGACTAGTTCACAAAAATAAGTTCGTTATGGTAAGAGCCTAAAAATATCGCCAGCAGAGTCGCCATGCTGTCGTGCCCCCTTTTTCCTTCGTAGAGTCCGGGTTTCGACATTCATGGGGGGAACAACTCGTTTCCTTTTGGGAGTTGGGTATTTTGAAGAGTCGCCACCTAACGGATTAAGGTGCGTTAGGGCACCTAGAGCGATTAATTCATATAACTAGTTTGCATTACCAGAGATTAGGGTAATGGCTCGAAATAACCTTGAGAGGAAGGTGTTAGGCACCCCTCGCGGTCCACAACGGTAGGTCCCAGCCGAACTTAAACAATGTGAATTAGTCAATTAACAAGTAAGCACGTATTTACAAATAAAGTATTTTTCCCCCATCTAAATGCATATATGATCAAGGAAGTTCAAATAATGAAGATAAAAGAGGTTTGGACAGCTTACACATGTATATGTAAAGAAAGGGGAGTTTAGATAATTTAAACACATATAGAAATTGGGAAAGGGGATTAGCCTACAGGATCAATCTGTGCAATGCCCGGTAATCCTCCTCAACTAGAGGGGCTACACGTGACATTAGCACGCAGGTCATCATATCCTTTTACTACCCGTTACCCTCCCCTTAACGGTTATATAAGTGAATTTGATTAACGACCCCTAAGCATGCTGTTACCCTTCCCTTCCTTATGGTCCTGGAGGAGCTTAGGACATCTAACTCTGGGTAGTTCTAACAAACCTAAGGTATTTAAAAGGCAAAAATCTAGGCGACAAACAAATAACATGTAGGACAAGCAAATAGGGAAAAAGCAGTTAAAAGGCTCATGTTTACCTCTGCATGCATATAGGCAAATAAACAACACGTACTAAAACACAGTATTTAAGGTAATTTCTAAGAAAGTAATCCTAAGGACAGGATATCGTAGNAACAACACGTCTAAAACACAGATTTAGGTAATTTCTAGAAAGAATCCTAGGACAGGATATCTAGGTGAACATCAGTACACAGATCTTGCAACGATATTTTAGAACTCAATGGCAAGGTCCAAGTCGGTTTGCTTATTGGTTTTAAACCTGTGAGACTTAAGCAGTTTATACACAATTGAAACAAGTTTCTAGTTTTATAAGGACATTGACCACCTAAGGCTTGCCTAGGCGTGGGGACTATACGTGATCACAATTACAGGAACTGTTTGAATAGTTTGAGATTGTTCAACCTACGAGCATGCTGACCTAGGTGATACTGGCTATAACAGGCGATTTGTCATTTGTGTTTGGAGACATGATACCTATACGTGAGCTTGTTTTAAACCTTTTCATGGACAACTACTGATTTAATCGAAATAGATGTGGTTCAAACAGAGTTCCTAAGAACATGGTATCCAATGCATACAAGAATGACAGTTTTATTAAGATTATTAGATAGCAGGACGTCTATGTGACAGTACTTAGGAATTGAGCATGCAACATACTGAAGCAGTAAACGTGAAGGCCCTAAAAGCAGGATATCTAATGCACAAGTTCAACATGGTTAGAATTCAAATAAACACAGTAATACTAGAACATGGCTTCTAATGCAGATTTGCAGAATATAAAGCCTATAGCATGTTTCCTACCCAGTTTTACCCACAGTATCATACAACTACCCTCCCGTTTCACTAGTTACCCCAACATCTGTTTACAAATAATTATTACAGACCAGAATTGGATAAATTACATAAATGCAATAGTATTAAATGATAGGGTGCCTGATGCATGCCCAAAGCATACCCGGGGTACCAGGCCTTCAGTAGTCTCAAATGCCAAAGATTCATAGCCACATTTGTGTCCAGGTGTGTCAGAGTTCCCTAAGGACCTCAAGGATCCCGGGCAGTGCTCACACCCAGACTTTTCTCAAATAAAGACTGATTATGCAGTGTGGAAGAGCCAGCCCTGATATGCCAGAGTTCAGAGAATCTCAAGGATCTCTAAGCAGTACACATACCAGAGAGGCAGAACTTAATAACCTAAGAGTAAGTGGGAGCGCTTGATATGGTTTGAAAGACTTAGTTAAAACAACTTAGGAGTGAAAAAGGTTTTCTAGAATAGACTTGTTTTGAGAAAATACTAGTAATGAAAGCCAGTTTTTAAAAGAATACCGATAGCATTTGAAAACGGTTCAGAAGAGAGCAAATTAAGTAGACAGCCAGTTAGTCATAAAAGGTTCAAATTCACAAGTACTATTGCAGGCAGGCTTGCACATTGGGAACATATAGGAACCTCATTGAGGGTACATGAATAGGGCAGGGAGGCATGTAGACAAGATAGAACACTTAGGATCTTCGTAGTTTTACTAAATTAGCCAGGATAGCAGGCAACTAAAACATGGAGTAAAGATGTGGATGACAGAATCAGACACACAAGTAGGGTCCTAGCATGATCACATAGTTAAGGGACTAAACATGAATTGCGAACAGGCAACATCAGATAAAAGGTGAAGTGTAGACATGATAATTATATATTTGTATAGGGCAGAATTTAGGCATGCTAGATAAAGCCGTAGGTAGGCTAATATAGTTAGACATGCTAATCACATATTGAACAGGATTGTGCTAAGCAAGACAATGAACATAAACAAGAATAGAACTTATAATTGATGAACTTAAGGCAGTAATGAAACACATAGGGCTTAGCTTTAAAAAATAATCAGGGACATACCAGTTAAGAAGAGAAAACACAGAATGCGAAGCAAATGTTGAGTTCGCCTTAACCTAGTCGATTTATGCTAAAGCCCTAATTTTCTCATATTGTGATTCGATTCTGAGTTCTTCGTGTTACTTGTGCAATGTTTCGTTCTGTGTTTGATTCACATGCTTCCCTTTGTCAGATTCATTGTTTTTCAGATCTGTGCAGATCTGAAAAGGCCGGGGACCTAAAATTAGGGTTTTTGAAAGTAAAACAGAGACGGGATCATAGGCTTAGGAATCCCTGGATTTAAGATGAAAAGAAGAAGGATCTTACCCAAAGTCGAACCGAATGGCCTGACACATGCTAGAAAAACCCAAAGGTGTACACAGACCTGCCTAAGTCCCTTGAGAATCTCCTCGAGGATCTTGGAGATGGAGGTACCATAGCATAGAAGAGGCATTAGAGGCCTGAGGTGGTGAAGAACCACCATATGAAGGCGGTAAGTGAGTGTCGGCGGGGGAGGGGGGGGAGGGGAATTAGGGTTAGAGTTAGAGAGCGTTTGAGAGACGGAGAGAAGGGTGACGGTGGGGGAAAGAGTGAAAATGATTAGGGTTAGAGGGGGGTATATGGGTTTAATTAAGGTAGGGGGATCCTGGACCGTTGATTAAGAATGATCAATGGCCAGGATTGGCGGGTTTCGGGTCGGGCAGATAGGGTACTGGGCCTAAGGGTTTGGGCTTAATTTTATAAGGTGGTATTGGGCTGGTTAGTTTTAGGCTAGAATTGTTATAAAAGAGGCTATTTATTAAATACTCAAGTAACTGAATAAATTTAATTTGTAAAATAATTAACTAATTGCCAAAAATGATTTTATGCATAGAAATGTTTTATAAATAATTATTTTTGTATTTTAAAGTACAATGGACTAATTTCTGGTAAAAAATGATGCAAAAATGTATGCATGGGCTATAATTGCAAAGTTATTGCAATTATAGCCAAAAGATCCCAATTTGACTATTTATGAAATAATTGGAACTTAATAAGACCATAAATGGTAATATTAAATCAAGAAATGTTTTAAAATCATCTGTAATGCAATTTTGTAATTTTATACGAAGAAAATATTGAGATAAATTAATTTAAAAATATAAAAATTATGGAAAAATACCCATTGATGCTAATGCATAGTTTTAAAGGTATATATGCACTTCAAAAATATTATAGGGAAAAATTGGGTATCAACAATATCCTCGATAGCTTTGATCTTATCGGGGTTAATTTCGATACCCGATTCGACACCATGAAGCCGAGGAGTTTACCCGAGCCGACTCCGAAGGCACATTTCTCTGGGTTAAACTTCATGTTGTACTTCCTCAAGATTTCGAATGTTTCCTGCAAATGAGTTAAATGGTCCTCTGCGCGCAGGGACTTAACCAACATATCATCAATATAAACTTCCGTTATTTTACCTATTTGTTCTTCGAACATTTTGTTAACTAGGCGTTGGTATGTGGCTCCTGCATTTTTTAGCCCGAAGGGCATTACGTTGTAACAATAAGTTCCAAACTTAGTAATAAATGAAGTCTTTTCCTGGTCCCCCGGGTTCATCTGAATCTGATTATACCCGGAGTAGGCATCGAGAAAAGTTAGGATCTCGTGGCCGGCCGTAGCATCGATCATGCGATCGATGTTGGGCAGTGGGAA